GATCAAGTCCATAGGATTACCAATGTAATAGAAAAAGCTCTTGAGGAAAAAAAAATCTGCTCAGCTGTGTTTTTAGATGTGCCGCAGGCTTTCGATAAAGTCTGGCACTCCGGATTGCTTACCAAAGTAAAAAATATTCTCCCAACGGAGTATTATGACGTAATCTCCTCCTACTTATCTGATCGTTACTTTCGAGTAAAGCACGGTGATGCCTATAGTAAACTGCATAAAATTAACGCTGGAGTTCCGCAAGGTAGTGTCTTGGGTCCTCTCTTATATCTGATTTATACACACGACTTGCCAACGAGTGCAACGACGTTCACAGCAACTTTTGCTGATGATACTGCAGTCCTTGCAGTTGGAGAAAGCGCAGTAATAGCAGCTAATAATTTGCAAAATAGTATGGACAGTATAATTGCTTGGACAAAAAAATGGAAAATTAATCTGAATAAAGAAAAATCAGTGCATGTAAATTTCACAAATCGAAACATCAGTTATATACCTGTCTACATCGATGAAGCACAAATCCCTCACGAATACTGCGAAATACTTGGGTATGACTTTGGACGCTAAACTAAGATGGAGCGAGCACATAAAAAAGAAAAGAAGTGAATTAGATCTTAAATTCAAATCGTTGAAATGGTTAATCGGCAAAAAATCAAAACTATCGCTTTTCAATAAACTTGTATTAAACAAACAAATGCTCCAGCCAATCTGGACATATGGAATACAGCTATGGGGTTGCGCAAGCAGAACACAAATTTCCATCATCCAAAGATTCCAAAATTTCATGCTACGGAGTGTAACAAACGCGCCATGGTACGTGAGAAATTCTGACTTACATCGTGACCTCGGAGTGTCAACAGTACAGGAAGAAATTCATACCAAAGCCAAATCACACCAAGATAGACTTAGTTGTCACATAAATGCTGAGGCGCATTTACTAGCGACAACTGAGCCAATACGCCGTCTAAAGCGCCAAAAGCCGTGCGATCTTTGGGCTTAAATCATTGAAATGTAGTACAATTAATTTATTATTGCGTGGAATCGCCTAATCTGTTTAAATTTAAATTGCTTGTTAGTTATCTAATAACTAGTTGCTTTATGTCTTGTTTTGTTTTATTTATTGTTCTTTAATATTATATATAATAAAACAATTTATAATAAAAAAAAAAAAAAAAAAAAATTTTCCATCTGCCATGCAAGGGGAAGACGAAGAAACGAAGTGGATGTAAATGCTCGATGTACTTGTTGGCGTAGTTACATAAAATATTAAGAAAAAAATTTTTCTTTTTCAAAAATATAAACGAAATTTATGTCAAAACAATAAAAAATTTTTTATTAAAGCAATAAGGATATTTTTGCTGAGTAGGGACTCCCTAATCACTTTAGTGTACATCTGGAAATACGCGGTTAATGAGAGCATTTTGGGAATCAACGATAGTGCAGAAATTAGGGGGCAGTTTTATGAATTCAGTATTTTCATAGACAACAACTTTTCATATCATAGCAAGTTTTCTTTTTCAAAAATATAAAAAAATTTATGTCAAAAAAATAAAAAAATTTTTGTTAAAGCAATAAAGATATTTTTGCTGGATAGGGACACCCTAATCACTTTAGCGGTATGAAAAATAGATAGTAGCCGATTCTTAGACCTACTGAATACGCATATAAAATTTGTTCATCATGTTCATCAAAACATGGAACTTAGATGGAATACATCTGAAATTATTATCACAATTTTTTATTGTTTATAATTCATTTATTTTATTACAATCTGTCAGATATGAATGACAATAAGTAATATATATTAACATGAATCGTAATAATAATTATTACAATCTATAAAAGAAAGTCACGTATGGACTATGTCCAGTGACATATCCTTATATACTTAAAATAAGATTGTGTGACCTACATATACATATTTAAAACGATCCTCGATGTTTTTCTTTTTAACCTTGTAAAAGTGTTGGAGGGGGACATCAGGTGTGTAACCAGTGGGTTTGGATGCATAAATATGCGATGAGCGTAATTCTTTGTAATTCGAGATATTTCTTCCTTGATTGTCGGAACATGTAGTTGCTTATGCAGCTGTTCATTCGATACGTACCAAGGTGAATTTGTGATCATTCGTAGTGTTTTTGATTGAAAACGCTGGATAATTGCCAAGTTTGAGTCTGCTGCAGTACCCCATAATTGGTTTGTGGTATTGGTTTGAGTATTGTTTATTAATACGGGCGGGCACGTAGAACGGTTTGTAGTAAATGTTACTTGGACGGATTTTGACTCATTTGGTTTGATACGCCAATTTTTCATCCAGAGAGCAACATTATCACAATTAATAAAAAATAAAGAAATTTATTTAAATAAGTGAAGAATATACCTTAATTGTTCACTATTTATATATTCATTTTATTTATTGTTTAATATTTCTTTTATTTATTTTATTATTTTTTATTATTTATTAATAAATAAATATAAATATTACAAACAACCACTACCAACACTAATTAAAAAAACACGTTTGTAAACAAGACAAGAAACGTCAAAACTTGAAAGCTTTTGTTGAATAAAACACATAGCACGGCGCATTCAAGAACACACAAAAATACAAAGCACGGAAATTACACCCAGGATAATAACAGCAACAAAAGACGACAAGTACCAAAAATACCAACGGGAAATGTACCAATGTAAAAGTGATGTATTTACCGTAAATATAGTTGTAAAAAATAATAAAACATTTATTGAATTGCTGAGAAATACCAAAAAAATCAATTTTTAATTGGATAGTGGCGCGACTATTTTGCTAATTACTTTGGCAACGTATGCAAAACTGAAATCACCAAAATTATTTAGTAGCAAAAAGATTATGTATGGTTACGGAAATAAAAAAATGGATATTGTTGGTGAAATTAGTGCTGATATTGAATGTGAAAAAATAAAAAAACGGGTCACACTTTTAGTAACAAATATTAACGAATAAATAATTTATTTGTTCAGGATTTATTTGATCAATTTAGTTTTAAAATACACCAAGTTGGAAAAATAAATGACGTTTCAAGAAATTCCACGGTGGAGAGCTTTAAACATAAGTATACCGATGTATTCGGACATGCATTAGGTACAATAAAAAATATTTTAGTTAATATTAGACTAAAACAGAATGCTGTTCCTAATTTTGTTAAAAGTCGACTTATTCCATATGCACTTCTACCCTAACATTTTACAACAACATGGTATTCGTTGCAAATACGAAAACAATTTAAATGGGGACAAGCCTAACAAGAAGCAATTGATCACTTAACAAATGTTATTGCTAATGCAACAGTTCTGGTGCGTTATCAAGAACACCGTCCTTTGATCCGAGCTACTGATGCATCATCATATATTCTAGGGGCAGTGTAATCCCACATTTATAAAGATAATTCTGAGTGATCAAATGCATTTGCTTCCAGAACGTTGAACGATGCGCAGCGCATATACAGCCAAATTGAAAAGGAAGCACTCTTAATTGTATATGGAATGCAACATTTTCATCAGTATCTATGTAAAAGGAAGTTTACATTTTTCACTGATCATAAACCTATAATTAGCATTTTTAGCCCAGATAAACCGTTGCCGGTTATAACAGCTAATCGTTTACTGCGATGGGCAATAACATTAATCGGATATTGATTCGAAATTAAATACTGGAAAACGGAGCTTTAACGGAGCTGTTTTCTTGCTTTAAATAATATATTTTGTAATTTTTGAAGTTAAATATACCGTCGGAGTCATAAGTCTACAAGCAGGCAGTACAAAAAACTTTGTTTAAAAATATTTTCCAAAAAAATCAATTTATTGGAAACATGACTTATTTTTTTTTTATTACATTCAATGCGCAATTTTTTCCCGAAGTTTCTTTGCATTTGTTCAATAAACAACCGAGATAACGGTGCTTTTATTGTCAAAGGCAGCAAAACAAGCGATCAAAAGTCTACAAGCACGTAGTATAAGGCAAAGTTTTAGTGAAAAATTCCTGATTTTTTATGCAATTTAGTAACTAATTGGGTAACCGTAATGCTTAAGAACTTGCACTAGACGGTTTTTCATCGAAACTACATGTTGACGAATCAACAAAAATTAAGAACTAGGTCATGAGTTAATCGCTCACACCTGTTGCTTAATTTCTTGGTTGACGAATCAACAAAAAGTAAAAATTAGGTCATAAGTAAAGCATTCGCAACTATTGCTTATTAAGCAATTTGTGCGAATTAAGCAATAAGTTATTTTATTTATTGTATGTTTTGCAATTACGGTTGCATTTTATTTTGTATAAAAGAACAAATCAATTTAAATAAAATCAGTTGTTGAAAGTAAATCAACGTCTCACCAATCATTTATTGTTTCCCCCCACCAGTGGTAAGGGACATAAAGATTGTTAATGAACATTCTTGTTCATTTTTGGTCCTTCGAGCCGGATATTTGAAATTTCCCCCACCAGTGGTAAGAGTTTCAAATATACCTAACAAAGAGACTTAAAGTCTAAGATTGAAGTTAATACAAACGTTCCGAGGTTTCTAACATCGGAGTGAAGTTAATACAAGCGTACCGAGGCTTTTAACATCGGAGTGAAGTTAATACAAGCGTACCGAGGCTTTTAACATCGGAGTGAAGTTAATACAAGCGTACCGAGGCTTTTAACATCGGAGTGAAGTTAATACAAGCGTACCGAGGCTTTTAACATCGAAGTGAAGTTAATACAAGCGTACCGAGGCTTTTAACATCGGAGTGAAGTTAATACAAGCGTACCGAGGCTTTCAACATCGGAGTGAAGTTTATACAAGCGTACCGAGGCTTTTAACATCAGAGTGAAGTTAATACAAGCGTACCGAGGCTTTTAACATCGGAGTGAAGTGAATGCAAACGTACCATCGAAGTGAAACAAGCAGAAGCGTACCGAGGCACTCAACAAATCAAATCAAATACTAACAGAGGACATCATGGAGATCGAACAAGTTATCCAACATCAAAAGGACATTGAAGGTGAGATCCAGAGGATCTGGATAAATTTTAAAAAGGATTCTTCTACAAGATATTCAAAGCAGTATTTTGAGACACGTTTGGAAAATTTGCGTCAGAAATGGGACGCATTTGAAGACAACAATGATAATCTGATCAAGAATTTGAAGCCTGATCATGAATATATCACAAAAAATTACTATGGCCAGTTACAACAAAGACGGAATGAAATCGAAAATCGATTTAATAATGAATTGGAAATAATAAGGCAAATGGAGCAAAAGGAAGCTCAAGTTTCAAGGCATCAAGTTATAAGAGGGCAAGAAGAAGCTCGGTCACCAAGGAATCAAGACATAAGTATCAATGACGAAGTCACCATCACCGGGCCATGTGATATTACGAACAAACGTTTAGCAATCTTAAGTACAAGTCTGTTGCAGATCAAAGAGACAATAGACTTAACGAAAAGTATTGAAACGTTACAGTTCAAATTGGAAAAATTGAAGAATTGTTGGGCAAAGATCTCACAATTAAACGATGAATGTCTGTTTAACAATGATGAAATAGACCAAGGAGATTTCATTCAACTGGAATCGATATACGAAGAAGTATATATCCAGTTACAAGAAGAACTGAACGTTCGCAGTCAAAACGTTTCAGAAACTAGAACAACCGTAAGTAACAATATCAAACTACCACCGTTGAATGTACCAATATTCAGCGGCAGATTTGAAGAGTGGTGTCCATTTTGGGAATTGTTCGACCGGTTAGTTCAACAAAACCATAATCCAGTGGATGTAGAAAGGATGCAGTACTTAAAAGGAAGTCTACGTGGAGAAGCCGCCAGACTTATCAATCATTTAACAATAACAGCGAACAATTATACAGCGGCAGTTGAACTATTGAAACAAAGATACAACAATCCAGCAATACTTGTGGACAATCTTATCAATAAGTTATTGTCGCTCAGAGCTATAAAAAATGAGAATGCACAGGATTTAAAAACATTAGTGGATTCTTCTAGAGAAGTGTTATATGGTATACGTAATTTAAATGTGGACACGTCAAGTTGGGATCCACTAATTATACAGATACTGCTTCCAAAATTAGATGGTGAAACCAGAAAATTATACCAACATTCAAGAGGGGCATCAACACAAATACCAAAATTGAGCAGCTTATACGAGTTTATCGAGAGCAGAGTTAGAGGATTGGAGGCAATTCGAGACACAAATCGCGAAAATAAGAATAATTTTCGACCAACAGCAGTTAATACAAAAACGCATGTAAATACAATACATACGCTATGTTTAGTGTTTAATGGTGACCACCAATTAATTCGATGTTCAAAGTTTCTGAATATGAAGGTGCCGGAACGTCGTGAAAAGATTATGAGCGCCAAATTATGTTTTAATTGCCTTCAGAGTGGGCATTTTAGTAAGTTGTGCTTGAATAAAAAAAGATGTGCAATTTGCGACAAAAAACACCATCAACTTATTCATGAACAAGTTAAGGGCAAACCAACAGTCACAAATAATATAAGTAAACAGAGGATGCCAACATTGAAGAACACCACAGAGACCGAAGTGGCAGCGTCGTACAACATCCAAAAGGAAAAAACTGTTTTACTAGCAACCGCAATGGTAATTATAAGGACTAAAAAACAAGTTAATCCGATACGAGCGCTTCTTGATCAAGGATCACAATCTTGTATAATAACAGAACAATTAGCAAGATCAATCAGAGCACCATTGACCAATTATCAAACTCATGTAAAAGGTATCAATGTACAAACAACAAGCGTTATAGCCAAATGTTCATTAGAAATTCAATCTATACATGATGAAAATAAAAGCTGTCATATCGAAGCAATAGTGTTACCAAAAATCACATCAAAAATGCCAAATGCAGAATTCACGCCAGGAAAATGGTCACATATTGATGGATTGCAGTTAGCAGATCCTTGGTATGCTGAACCAAAGGAAATACAATTGTTAATCGGATCGGACGTGTTACCAGAAGTGTTTAAAGAAGGATTAATTAAAGGGCCAGACAACTCTCCAATGGCTCAAAACACACTATTTGGATGGATATTATCAGGACCTTTAGATGTAGAGCGTACAATCACAAACAAAATAATGTTATGCTCCATGGCTTGCGAAAGCAGCGACGAGTATTTAAAACGGTTTTGGGAATTAGAGGAAATTCCAAATGCAGACTTAAGAACAGTAGAAGAAAGGCGTTGTGAGCGACATTATGATTCAACTTGCACCCGCGATAAAACAGGACGATACATCGTTAGGTTACCACTGAAAAATGATCGAGAAACGTTAGGTGAATCCAGAAAGATAGCATTAAAACGGTTCTTTTCATTGGAAGAACGATTTAAGAAGAATCCAGCACTAAAGCAAGAGTATGTGAACTTTATGCGAGAGTATATCAAGCTGGGTCACATGAAGGAAGTTAATAAAAAACCAAAGACAAAGGTATATTATTTGCCGCATCATGCAGTTATTAAAGAAGACAGCACGACAACAAAACTTCGAGTGATGTTTGACGCGTCCGCAAAAACAACATCAGGACAATCACTGAACAGTATTATGATGACTCCAGCGCATGATAGTCTTAACTTTACAGAAACCAACTCAGAGACGGCATCAACCAAGGCAGATTCAGACATTCAAGATATGTTACCATTGGGAAACCTTGTCAGAAATAAAGAAGTAGTTCCGACAAATTCTACTGTAGGAGATCCTAGAACGCGACGACAATGGTTAGCAGCTAGGCAATCAAAATCGACAGTTCTTGCTATATTTTTGGCATATCTCACATTAGGAACTACATTAGCAACACCCACTATAACATATCCCGAATCAGGATTATTCATTGAAGGATTAGGCAAGGCAAAAATACAAAGAGGAACACTTAGAACCACTATCACATTTCCAATCCGTGACATAATTCAAGATCAAAGGAACGTTAATAGCACCATAAAACAATTAACAATGTTGTGTACCAAGTCAAAGGCTGTCAATCCTTATATACAATGTGACGATTTAGTTTCCAATTTAAGTCATGAAGGGCGCATCTTAAGAACAACCATTGATCGATTGTTGACGGCAGAATCATCAGTTACAAGAAGTCCCCGAGGAATATTAGGTACAGTATTAACAACACTTTTTGGTGTAAACGATGAAGTGTATCACGACATTGAAACGTTGGATCAAAATCAGAAATTATTGATCCAAAATACTAAATCAAATGCTAGAATCATGATATCCACAATAGCGGCAGTAAACAACACAGAAACTAAAATCATCAACAAAATCAACAGCTTTAGTAAAAGACTAAACGAAGGATTGCAGGCTATCAGTCAGATGCAAGGTTGGCATGATATCGGAGAAGGAAATAAACTGAATATATATGTACTTAATTCATATATAATGGCATCCAATTACATTCGAGAAGTAGAATCAAAATATAATAAGATCTTCAATGTATATTTAAAACGCAGTCATATTTATGAATTCCTTTCGCATGATGAAATCAATGATATTATAACTCGATGTTCCTCAAAAATTGGACCAGAAATGTATGTCTTACCAATTCCGATGAACAGATTGGAATATGTTCGAGATACTGACAACGTTATAATTTATGGTTATTTCACAATCAGCGATATAGAAGAATATGAAATCATTAGATTCAACACGATTCCAGAAAGAATTAATGATAATATATATCAAGAAATCGAATTGTTAACATCCACATTTGGCATCAATTATAGCAGTAAAAAATATTTTGACGTTACTATCAGTCAAATGGAGACTGCAACCAAGCTGAATAATGGTACTAGGTTAATTCATCCAACAATATTTTACAACATTGACGAGAGTTCCAATTGTGTAATTAAGCAATTGTATAATAAATTAACATTCGATAACTGTCCGTCAAAAAGATTTCAAGTTATACAACCAGTTTGGAAAGAGCTTTGGACGCCCAATGCTTGGATATTCATTACACCAAATTTAACGACAATTCATGTAATTTGTCATATTGAACGTGAAGAAGTAGTTCTGAATTATACGGGAATCATTCATATCTCTCCAGATTGTGTAATACATTCTAAGACTATTCAACTGGAAGGAAGAATGATGAAAGAATTTCAATCAATCACACACCACGTTAAACCAATCAGCATGCAAAACATTTCAATACCTGACAGTAGAATGCATAAAATTACAAATGAAACCGTTATCCCATTGGTGCAAGATTTATCAACTATGCTTTTGTACTCCGCAAGGGATGCTCAAGACAACATGGACCAAGTCAACGAAATATCTTGGAAAACAATAATGACTCATCAATATTGGAAGAAATGGGTCATCGGGGCTACAGCTATAATAATAATCATATTCGTTGGAGTATTATATTACATGTGTTACATTAAACCGAGAATACTATCAACATCAGCCAATAATCATACATCACCGTCCACTTACGATGTCGCTTGGTCTTGCACATAAACAACAACCTGCTGAGGCTAACAAATCTAGACCAACTCGTAATACCAACGCAGAGCCGGCATAATGTTGACGAATCAACAAAAAATTAAGAACTAGGTCATGAGTTAATCGCTCACACCTGTTGCTTAATTTCTTGGTTGACGAATCAACAAAAAGTAAAAATTAGGTCATAAGTAAAGCATTCGCAACTATTGCTTATTAAGCAATTTGTGCGAATTAAGCAATAAGTTATTTTATTTATTGTATGTTTTGCAATTACGGTTGCATTTTATTTTGTATAAAAGAACAAATCAATTTAAATAAAATCAGTTGTTGAAAGTAAATCAACGTCTCACCAATCATTTATTGTTTCCCCCCACCAGTGGTAAGGGACATAAAGATTGTTAATGAACATTCTTGTTCACTACAAGTTTACTGGTCTCTTGAGTTGTTATTGCGTCCCATTCTTTTAGGATTATGTCTTTCAAATTCTACGTGATTCAACCACAGAAATAGTTTTTGCAAAGCTTTCCTGTATATTACGTACAATTTCCAATGCCGTCAAACGTGGATTTTTCTTTACTGAATTTAATATTAAGCAGGTTTCACAGTGAGTGAGTTTCGATAGGCGGCCAGAACGCGTCTTTGACGTGATAATTCCGGTAGTTTTCCAATTTCTGATCACGGTATGGACTGAACAGTGCGATCTTCCAAACAAATGCCCAATTTTCCGCTTCGACTTCTCTTCCTCTCAGAATTTTATGATGATTTTTCTTTCCACGACGCTTTTTTTTCCGGTAAGACACTATTGCCAGTTTGTAGTAAATATTTTAAGCAGAATACAATTTTTTGCAGTTTTATAATTAATTACCACAAACAAAATAAGACGCAATCCAAATGTTTACAAATTAACATTTAACTCGCGTTAGAACTGCAGAAATACCAAGTGCTTGTAGACTTTTGATCGCTTGTTCTGCTACTCTTTATGATAAAAGTACCGTCATCTCGACTGTTTTTTGAAGAAATGCAACGAAACTTCGCAAAAACATTGTGCATTAAATGTTATTTTTTTGGAAAATATTTTCAAACAAAGTTTTTTGTACTGCCTGCTTGTAGACTTACAACTCCGACCGTATATGTAGTATTAAGTTTTGTATATGTAGTTAAGCGATTCTTCTCTCAAAATTACTAATTTGCTCTCTTTGTTTTTTCTGTAATATAATATTTACGTATTTCGCTTTTGTTTCTCTATTCTTAAAGTGCAATTGAAGTATTACAGTTGTGTTGTGAGATTTAAATAAATATATTTAAATAAATAAATTTTAATTAAATAATTTTAGTTCGATAATTTTTATAAATATATATCTATGGGTAAGTAATATTTTGATATCTTATTATTCAAAGTTAATAACTTTAAATATGTAATGTTCAAAATACAATGAAATGTGTCTTTAATAAAATAACTAACATATGTCTGCTTTAAGACAAGCAGCTAAAAGAGAAGCACGCAATTTTATGTCGAGCATATTTGAATTAAAAAAAAAAGGCATGTGATAATAAAAATTCAGAAAAAGTTCACAAAAAATGAACTAAATGATGTTGTTGAAAATATAGAAATACAATATGATAATAATATCAGTGACGAAGTTTTAAATTCAAATACTAATATATATAAATATATATATATATATATATATA